GAAGGAAGGAAGGAAGGAAGGAAGACAAGTCTGGAGGTAAAATACAGGACTGGAGTTGTAGCTGAAGGGATAGAACAGATTCCTAGGTGCACAACCCTGAGGTCAAATTCCAGTACTAATATGCAAACAAAAAATACAAAATTGTCATTAATTTATTGATTTCCTTATTTCACCAAAAAACTTGGCTTGAAAATTTATTAGAAATATGAGAAACTTACTGGGTAAACTTTTAATCTCCAGCAAAGGCCTGAAACTTGTAGAGGTGGGCTGTACACAGGATCTGCTCTCTGGCGCAAAGTGCTAAAGAAAAAGAATACCAACCAAACCAAAGATCAAAACTACTATAAAATTAACTTGTAAAACCAACAGCAAATCATACTCTTTCAGTTAATACTTGTAATCCTGATCTTGTCAATGTGCCACTAAATAAGCCCTGATACACTAATGTCCTAAAATTAAAGAAATTGTAATGATACAAAAACATTCAGCAAATCCTTTCAAAACAAAGCAAAAGAAACAAAACCCTAAAAACTGTGACCTTCAAAAGAAAAAGGATCATTAAGCATCCTGATTTGACTTTTTTCAGTAACAGTCTTTCATTTAAAAACAAGACTGAAGACATGGTTCAACTGGTTAAGCATCTGCCTAGTAAGCAGAAAGCCAAGCTGAAAGCCCAATACCAAGCAGAAAAGTAAAAAATTAATAAAAAGAAAAATAAAAGTATCAAAGGCTAACATGCAACTTACAAAGCCTACACATTTTCTTACAATAACGGCCTCTTGGGCTGGAGACAGAACTCAGTGATAAGAGTGCTGCTTCCTAGCAAATACAATGCCTTCTGTTAAAATTCCCAGCATAGCAAAAGCAAAAAAAAAAGGGGGGAGGGATGGGAGATTTGTGCTTGTGAAAGTCAATTCAGCATTATATTTCAAAAGCATATTGAAAGAACTAAAAATTTATTGAAATTAAATATACTTTAGTATACTTGTCTCCATTTTCCTCTTGCCTTTCTCTAAAACCATACTGCATTCTTCTGCAAGAGCACTACATCTGAAATGGCTTCTTACTGTCAGTAACAGATCTCAGTGGACTTAGCACAACTTTTACTTAAGGCAGGTAGATTGGGGGCTCATATACTTCCATATTCTCACCTCTCCACTTTAGCAAACTAAGCAAAAACTAAGCAAACTCTTAAATTTAATAAGCATTTCCTTTTCTTAGAATGGAGAAGCAACAACCCTGAAGATGTAAGATGAGCATACCTAATTCAAAACGCTACAAAATCTGAAACTTCTGAGCTCCAACAAGAGATCACTGGAGGTAAATCCTACACTCAGCCACATGTTACATGGTAACTGCAAAAGCACTAAAAAAAAATACTATATAAAATTACATACTTGCCATACGTATAAAGTACTTATAAGAAACAAATGTTTAGCCAGGCGCTGGTGGCTCACGCCTGTAATCCTAGCTACTCAGAAGGCTGAGATCTGAGGATCGAGGTTCAAAGCCAGCCCAAGCAGGAGAGACTGTGAGACTCCTATCTCCAATAAACCAGCAGAAAACCGGAAGTGGCTCTGTAGCTCAAGTGGTAGAGCGCTCGCCTTGAGCTGAAGAACTGAGGGACAACGCCCAGGCCCAGAGTTCAAGCCCCATGAGTGACCAAAAAAAAAAAGAAGAAACAAATGTTTAGCCAGGCGCTGGTGGCTCACGCCTGTAATCCTAGCTACTCAGAAGGCTGAGATCTGAGGATCGAGGTTCAAAGCCAGCCCAAGCAGGAGAGACTGTGAGACTCCTATCTCCAATAAACCACCAGAAAACCGGAAGTGGCGCTGTAGCTCAAGTGGTAGAGCGCTCGCCTTGAGCTGAAGAACTGAGGGACATCGCCCAGGCCCAGAGTTCAAGCCCCATGAGTGACCAAAAAAAAAAAGAAGAAACAAATGTTTAGAGGTGGGCACCCGTGGCTCATGCCTGTAATCCCAGCTACTCAGAAGGCTGAGATCTGAGGATCACAGTTCAAAACTAGCCTGGACAGAAAACTCCGTGAGACTCTTATCTCCAATAAACCACTAGAAAACCGGAAGTGGCACTGTGGCTCAAGTGGTAGAGTGCTTGCCTTGAGCTGAAGAACTGAGGGACAGCACCCAAGCCCAGAGTTCAAGCCCCATGACAGACAAAAAAAAAGAAACAAATGTTTAGACCTGTGTCACATAATCAAATGTCATTTTCCAAACAAAATATTCCAAAAATCTGAAAAAATCTGAAATTTAAAATGCTTCTATAGGGCTGGGAAGGTGGCTCAGTGGTAGAGTGCTTGCCTTGAGCTGAAGAGCTAAGGGACAGCGCCCAGGCCCAGAGTTCAGGCCCCACGACTGGACCCCCCCACCAAAAAAAATAAAATACTTCTATACTTAAGCATTTTAGATAGGGAATACTGAGCCTGCATAAGCTAGACCATCTCTGTTTCTAATAGGAAGCTTGTTTTAAGACTACTTAACTGAGTGATCATTCACTTGGTAGGTATGTTTCCTATCAAGGAATGAGACCTTCACAGCTCTTCCTTATAAATACATGAAAAAATAAACAGTGCTCAAAAACTCTTACCTGAAATTCTCTAAAACAAAAGTTGCTGAATCATAAGATGGTACTAATTCACTGAGAAGAAATAAAAACAAATTATTTACCTTACATAAATTGAAATTTTCATTTACTTTAAAAGAAAATAAGCTCTCATTAACAGTTTGATAATTTTAAACAGAATCTCAAGTAATTCTTATATTAGGGTTTGAGAACTACCAGTCTAACATCATAGTGTAATTATAAATATGCATGGAAGAATATGCTATTCAAAAGAATTTAAAGGGACTCAGAATGTAGCTTAGTGGTAGAGTGCTTGCCTAGCCTGCATGAAGCCCTGGTTCGATTCCTTTGTACCACATAAACAGAAAAATCCAGAAGTATCGCTGTGGCTCAAAGTGGTAGAGTGCTAATCTGGGCACCGGTGGCTCCTACCTATAATCCTAGCTACTCAGGAAGCTGAGATCTGAGGATCATGGTTCAAAGCTAGCCCAGATAGGAAAGTCCATGCGACTTTTTTTTTTGGTCCAGTCGTGGGGTCTGAACTCTGGGCCTGGGCGCTGTCCCTCAGCTCTTCAGCTCAAGGCTAGCACTCTACCACTTGAGCCACAGAGCCACTTCCGGCTTTTTTTCTTTTT